ACCGAGGGAGGGCGGCTCCCTGCAACCAGAGCGCGGCCCTCAGGAACCCCAGCAGCTCTGCAGGGCCTGAGGGGGGGCGCTGAGATCCCCCGGGATCCCCCCCTCCCACCGGAGGAAGCTCCCCGGGCCCCCCCAGCCCTGCAGAGATCCCAGGAGAACCGGGACTGGCCCCCCTCACCCTGCCCTGTGTGCACACACAGTGTCCCCAAGCCCAGGGCTCCCCTCCCACCCTGTCCTCGCCCCCTCTGGGTGCTGACTGAGCACCCCAGACCCATCCCAAAGACACGGGGCACATCCTGCTTGGCAAAGAAACCAGGGGGATCTGGTGATTTTGCTCCCCCTGTTAGCCAAGAGAGACCAGGGAACTAGGAGGGAGCTGGGGAAGCACAGCAGCTCAGAGATGGGATTTCAGGGGATGGGTGTTTCTGAACTCGTGTGCCCACTCCCCAGCTGTCCCCATCCCACCAGAACCGAGCTGGACAGCAAGACAAGGTCTGTCTGTCCCCATGGCCAAGTGCACACTCACCCTGCTGCAGGGACGAGGCCTCCTCGATCTCCTCCTCAGCCACACTCTGCAAGGAGGAACCACACAGGTTAGTTCTGCTGCACTTGGCTCCTGCTCTGCTTCTCTCCAGAGATTTGTTTCCCAGTGGGAGCAAAGGGGCCACACACCAGTCCTGTGGCACCACAGGCCAGGATAAAGGGGGTTTGCAGGCTGGAAGCCCAGCAAGGCCCAGCTGGGGGAAGGTCAGCTCTGACATGACTGCAGCCAAGTGACTTTCCAGCCCCTCAGCTCCCAAAGACACATCAGGGGCACAGGGAGCACTGACACCCTTCCCCAGGGAGCCCTACAGGTAGATAAATAAAGGCAGCCAAGACCATTGGCTCCAGGCTGCTCCTGCTAACCAGCTCTTCTTCACCCTGTCACTCAGGAAGCTCCTCAGAACACCCCGTGTCCCAGCAGCAGCCTCCCCAGCAGAGGACTCACCTCTGGAGGGCTGGTCTCTCTCAGGACCAGCTCAGGACCCCCCAGGGTTGGCTGTGAGTCGGAGTCCTCAGAGAGCTTCTCTTCATCCTCCTCATGGATGGGGGACGAGGGGGAGCGCAGGGTGCTGCAGAGAGAGGGGCTCCATTCACAAGCAGCCACAGTGCTGCCTGCACCGTGGGTCCTGCTGGATTTGGTGGCAGCAGCTCAAGTTGTCACCACCCCCTGTCCTGTCCCTCCACCAGCAGCAGAAGCTCAAAGGATGGAGCTAAATTCACCAGGGCCCTGCAGGACCAGCTACAGGGAGGAGCAGCAGCAGCAGCGTTTCTGGGGCAGAGCCCAGCAGAGCAGAGCTCTGGCACAGGAACACAGCTTGGACAAATCCTGCATGGAGAGCAGGAGGCCCAGGTTCCACGCTGCTCCTCACACCTTCAGGGGCTCCCTTCCCAGGGGGAAATTCAGAATGGAGCACAGAGAGGAGTGCCAGGATCAAAGCCAGTCTGACCCATCTGTGCAGCCCCACGTGGAGGGCAGTGGCACCCACACCTCCAGGCTCCCCCATAAGCCCATGGAGGAGGCTTCAGACCACAACTACAGGATCTCACTCAGCATTTTGTGCTCTGGAATTCAGGTCACTTCTCTCCCCATTCTTTTGCTCCTGAGGAACTCCATGGAAAGCTGAAATTCAACAAGGTTGGGATGTCCAACACAAATGGAGAGACCAACTGCGTTGGAAAGGAGACATTTCCATCTGGAGTCTGGATTAAATTCTCCCTGTTCAAAATCCTCTTTCTTGTGGTGACAAAGCCAGCCCTTTGGAGACATAAGCTGGTCACCTCAGGCTGAACACAGGGGTGGTGTCCCAATCCTCTCTCACTGGCCAGAGTACCTCCTAAAGTTGTGAGTAAGCAGTGCTACCAGGGATGGGACCCCCCCCAGAGCTCTCTCCTGGCTCCCAATGCGAGTGGCCACAAGTCCTCAAGGGCTTGCAAGAGGAGTGGACCCCAAGCTGACCTATCTGGGGACTTGCTCCTCTTGCCCTTTTGGTGGCTGCTCTCCAGGGCTCTGTCCATGCCCACCAGGGGGCGGCTGGTGGGGGGGATCCCATCCACCACCCCCGAGTAGTTGATCTCATCGTAGAGAGGAGCTGAGGGGATGGAGGGGGAAACAGAGCGAAGGCCATTCAGTGCTTCCAGCAGGGAAATGGGCTCGTAGCCTGGAGGGATGTTGTCAGAGCTCTGTGGGCAAGAAGGAGAGTGGAACGTTAAGAAACCCTCAGCAGGCTGGGAGCAACCCCCACAGAAAGGGGGGGTAACCCAGCCCTGCACCTCCCACACGGCGCATCCCCACAGGCTCCTCCCCAGCAACAGCCACACGTCTCCCTTTGGGCTCCAACACTGCTGGATCATGGAATGGTTGGAGTTGGAAGGGACCTTAAAGATCATCTAGTTCCAACCCCCTTGGCATGGGCAGGGGGAAGTTACCAGAGACTGGACTCTTCCAAAGTCATTAAACCAACACTGGTTTAACTCCAAAAATCCTCCCGATCACCAAGGACTCGGTGATAAATGGGGTTGATGCTGCAACCCAGGAGGTCCCAGGCAGCTCAACCCAGGAGGTCCCAGGCAGATGAACCCAGGAGGTCCCAGGCAGATGAACCCAGGCCACATGAAGAGGCAACACTGCAGCAGTCCAGGCTAATATGAAATAAAGCTGTTTCAGCCCTGCACCCTCAGGGAGGTGGCTTTATGTGGCACCTAAGGTGGCATGTGGCTGCTGAGTCTGGCCATGAACTCCTGGAGGTTCTCTGTGCTCAGTCACCCAGGTGCAGATGAACCTGCCCAGCAACCTGCTCCAACCCAGCCATTAATTTGGGGTGAGCTGATTGCTGACCTGCCTCACCTGTGGTCAAAGAAGGTGCTGGATCTGCTGAGGAGGAAAGAACGAGTGGCACCTGGGGTCAACATCAACCCACATCCCCCAGGCACTGCCCTGGTGATCAGCTTGGGCTGGAGACCACAGCTGGTAATTGGAAGAAAACCCAAGCAGCTGAATAAGGAATCTGAGCACAGCTGGTGCCACCTCCAGGTGGTGGGGCCAAAAGTCATCTCCACAAACACACTCCACCTCCAGACAGCAGCTGGAAGGTGCTGTTTTGTGGAGAGAAAAGTCAGGGAGACAAAACTCCCTGGGGCTGCTGCTTGGGATGTTTTCTTCTGGCTGTGAAGACTAAGGCCTGAGGGTTCAAGGGCTGCTCCCTGCAGTGGAAGCTCAGCTTCTCAGAGCCAGAGGGGGATTTCACAGCTACAATGCCCTCCCTGCAGGTTTCTGAGCTTTCTAACAACCCTGAGACAGGGCTCCCTCCTGGGACACTGACCTCTACACCTCCCCTGGAGCCCCTGCTCCAGCTGCACTTGATGGGAGTACAGAGAGGGCACAAACAGACCCTTCCTGGCCTGGACCCTTCCTCACCTTTCCCATTCCCAGCTCCTGGTCCCCACAGCTGCCATCCACACTGTCCCCAGCACAGCATTCCAGTCACACACTCTCACACCAACTTGGAGAGTCCCCAGCAGAACAAGCCCCATCTTTCTGGAAAAGCAAAGCCCACCACAGTGCTCCTGAAGGCAAGACCTGCTCCAGCAGTGGTGCCTGTTTGTCCACTGGAGTGGAAACCACATCAAGATGTGCCCACACCAAACTGCCAAGGGGGTGAGCCAAGTGCAAGGAAGCTTCTGGGCGACCCAAGGGGACAGCAGCTTGTCACAGTCCTACAAAACCCTCTTGGCCAGGAACCACAAAGCAACCAGGCCCAGGACCTGGGGACAGCCCCTGAAGAATCAGCATCAGACCCTTGTGACAAGCTGCTCCCATCTTGCTTGTCCCTCCCCAGGCAAACCAGGGGGTTGGTGATCATCCATGCAGGGTGGGAGTGTCTCCCTGATGATGGAGGCAGGAGGTGGAGTGTGGCAGCCCGTGGAGGGACACAAATCAAACCCAGTGAGCCCTCGTGTGTGTGACATGTCCCCGTGCTGGTGACACTGCTGGCAAAGAGCAGCACAAGCACCCCAGTCCACTTACTC